AGAACGAAGTTCTGCACCATCAGAGTTTAGAGAAATCCAAATAAAAGCATAAATCAGAGTTTAAACGCAGCAAAGTGCAGAGAGGAGCTCTGCAGACCTTCAGGAAGCCTGCAGAGCTCTGGGACAGAGTACAGAACCAATCAGCATTCAGATCTGAACCCTTGGATCATGTTTGATCCGCTGAGAGTGATGCAGCTCATAAATCCTCCCTCTGTTCCTCACCAGCTGCTCAGGAAGCTGCTCTCACCTGCAGTCCAGAGTCCAGGAACTCGACGGGCTTCCTGCGCTCCGACGCTCCGAGGAGGAACAACCGTTTCTAAAATCTGCTTCAGAGAAGCCTGACCACAGAGTCACAGCTGCAGTGACAGGACGGCGGTTCTTCCTGTTCCTGCTCTGAGACCGGCTGCAGAAACATCCTCTTTGTTACATGAGCTCTGACAGATCCGCAGAACAGAACAAACGCTTCTGCTGCTCAGATCAGCGGGTTTCAAAAGCTCAGATCAGTGCAACAGTTTCCAGTCCATTCTGGACTAGAACCTGGCTGATGGCGATCTTAGGGGTTGATCCCAGTTTGTCTGCTTCTGTTCCTCCATCTAAGAACTGGGTGGTGGTGGCAGCATCATGCTGAGGGTCTGATCGCATCAGTAGGGTAGTCAGCTGTGTTGTTCTCTCTCTAGTCCTGTGACCCGGTGCTGTCATTCCAACACAATCCCCAGATTATCTCCAAAGGGCTCCTGGATCTCATTCTTTATCCACAGCAAAGTTATTGGGCAGAACTGCGAGGAAGTCCATTTCTCTGGAGGAAAGAAAACCCACCGATGGTTCGGATCAGGAAGCATCACTGCTGACGCCACATTGGTCCCATGGAGGCTCTCAGTTCTTCTCCAGGAGGAGGATTCATCCTTTAAACTCCTGCAGGAGTTTGTTTTGTCTCTGTTGGTTTCCTTGAACAGAGGAAGACATTTAAACACAAGCCAGCTGGAGCATGCTCCGGTCCAAACACCACCCTGTGAGATGGTCAGGAAGCTTACTGGACCTTCTAAGATGACCTGAAGGTTCTCCTCTGCAGCTGAAACTCTTTATTTGATGATCCAGAAACTGTCCTTTGAGCTAAATCCCGAGCAGAACATGGTGCTTTTAATAACCACTAGTATTTTCACAATGACCAACCTCCAGAATTATTTCTGAAATAAGTGCTCCACACTGCAGACTCCCCACGCTGCCACCTCCAGAAGTTCTCTGACCATTCTACCATAGTTGGCCTCATCACAGGTGGAGATGACCCAGGACTCGGTGGTCTGGTTCCAGCAGAACCACCTTCTGATTCATGCAGGGAAAACCAAGGAGCTGGTGTTGGACTTTGGCAGAAGCAGATCCACTCCACTGACACCGGTGAACATCCAGGGAACGGACATCGGACTCTTCTAAGGTGTTTATCTGAGTTCATCTGAAACCTTCTCTGACTCTGCTGTAGCATCAGCATCTTCTATGGAGCTGTCTGTTGGAGCAGCGGCTCATCTGTAGCTGAGAGGAAGCGGCAGGATCAGCTGATCGGGAAGGCCAGCTCTGATTGGATGCCCTCTGGACCCCCCATGCATGAAACTGGTGCTGAACTGGACAGCTCCTTCAGTGACAGACTGCTGCACCTTAAATGCAGCAGGGAGCGTTATCACAGATCCTTCCTCCCAGCAGCTGGAAGACTCTAGAACCACCACTGTTCCCAGTAACCTCAACCAGTTCTTCCATTCATGCTGATTCTGCTCAGTTTCTACCTTAGTCAGTTAAATAACCTGCTGCTGTCATTTTGCACATCTCTGATGTTGCTGCTATTTTTAAATTACTGTAAAAAAATGTCCATAGCTGGATGTTGGTTATTTATTCTCCAGTTTTATATTGTTAAAACACTTTACAGGATTTTATTGTTTATTTTTTAACTCTTCATTTCGGACTCTTTCCTACAGAGGTGTGTCTGCTAACTGCTGCAGGGCTACAGAGAAACCTGAACTGATTCAGTCATTCAGATTAAAGGAAGTTTCACTGTATTAATGCTCCGATCTAAATGTTAGTTCTGAATTTATTCTGCCTGGAATCCATAAATCTAACCTGAATCATCAGAGACAAACTGGAAGCTTCAAGGATGACTTTGACAAACTTTAGTTCAGTAGATTTCTCATGATATTTCAATCTCTTAAACTGCAGCAGTGATCAAATGTAAACATAAGACTGAATTTTATTTATAGTTTTTCCAACATTTAGGTTTGTTTGTTGCTTTTTTGTTTTGTCTTTTTTTAACAATCAGCAGTCTGATGTCGGTGGAATGTTAGAAAAAGAACTGAAAAAAAAAATCTAATTTATCT